CTGGATTCAAGTTGAATACCAAATAAGCCTTTATCTTCTAGCTCAACTTTGTGGCCATGAGCCATTTACTTCATTTCTAGTAGAGAAAAAGAACACAAAGATGAGCAAAATTCCACCAAACTTGCATCCTAATTTTTCTTTTCTTTTATTTGTTTGGTCACCCATTTTCGTCTCCATTATTGAGAATACCTGATAGTTAACAGAAAATATACCTGATATAAAGGAAGGTAATGTACGGTGAGCTTCATATAGATAAATAATATCTAAACATCAACATCATATAATATGGATCTTTCAACGGAGTAAACGATGACACCGTTGACAGCACCAAAAACCTAGCACAAAATGCCAACAGGAAAAAAACTGGTTCCAAGTAGCAATCACATTGTTTTTCTTGGCATAAAAAATTGCCCGTGAGGAAATCTAACAGTCAAAGCATTGCAAGCCACATGCATCAATGGTTAGGAAACAACCCGATTCACTAAAGTGGGAGACTGACCGTGACATGCCTCTTAACATTAGTTAATTTCAGCAAAAGAGATAGAAAAGGCAACAGAAAAGCTAATGTTTGATACGCATTCCTCACACTATATCAGGCTAAAAGAAAATCGTGTCCAAGGATAACATTAACATGATAAGGTGGGGTTTGCTGGATTCCAAGTGGTGGGATTTGAGATTGTGTGGGATGTGGATGGTGAAAAAGAAAAAGATATCGGATATGAACCCTCACTGGAAGATCCAGTGGCTGATCTCTGTCTTTTTAAAACAAAGCCTAAAACTGCTTCTTCTGATATGGGCCAATTTTACTTGGGTTGTCGTGTGGAATTTTAGGCCTAAACAGATCCCCGTAAAATCTTCTATGTAATATTTATACTTTTGAATAATTGGGGTGTTTTTTAGTTGTTCTTAAGTTATAGTTTTTAAAAATAGAGCTACAAAACAGGTTTTCTTTGTTTTGGACTCAAATTCTATTTTTGAGTTTAAAAAACTGGATTCAAGTTGAATACCAAATAAGCCCTTAGCTTCTAGCTCAACTTTGTGGCCATGAGCCATTTACTTCATTTCTAGTAGAGAAAAAGAACACAAAGATGAGCAAAATTCCACCAAACTTGCATCCTAATTTTTCTTTTCTTTTATTTGTTTGGTCACCCATTTTCGTCTCCATTATTGAGAATACCTGATAGTTAACAGAAAATATACCTGATATAAAGGAAGGTAATGTACGGTGAGCTTCATATAGATAAATAATATCTAAACATCAACATCATATAATATGGATCTTTCAACGGAGTAAACGATGACACCGTTGACAGCACCAAAAACCTAGCACAAAATGCCAACAGGAAAAAAACTGGTTCCAAGTAGCAATCACATTGTTTTTCTTGGCATAAAAAATTGCCCGTGAGGAAATCTAACAGTCAAAGCATTGCAAGCCACATGCATCAATGGTTAGGAAACAACCCGATTCACTAAAGTGGGAGACTGACCGTGACATGCCTCTTAACATTAGTTAATTTCAGCAAAAGAGATAGAAAAGGCAACAGAAAAGCTAATGTTTGATACGCATTCCTCACACTATATCAGGCTAAAAGAAAATCGTGTCCAAGGATAACATTAACATGATAAGGTGGGGTTTGCTGGATTCCAAGTGGTGGGATTTGAGATTGTGTGGGATGTGGATGGTGAAAAAGAAAAAGATATCGGATATGAACCCTCACTGGAAGATCCAGTGGCTGATCTCTGTCTTTTTAAAACAAAGCCTAAAACTGCTTCTTCTGATATGGGCCAATTTTACTTGGGTTGTCGTGTGGAATTTTAGGCCTAAACAGATCCCCGTAAAATCTTCTATGTAATATTTATACTTTTGTTTATATCAAATCTCACAGCCTCATAAATAGGCCAAAGATTGTATTAAATTACGAACATGCCACTTTTGGAGATGCAAAACCCCAATAGACTTGAATGAATTTAAATAACTTATGCGCCAAGAAACTTGACTTTTGATTAGGGAACTATTCTTTTCCATGGCTCGAGACAAATGAGTACTTTATTATATCTCTAATACAAAGCTAAGAGGTAAAGAAAACAGAAAACAGAAAACATGGTAAAAAGGTGCCAGATTGATCAGATCTTATCAGAACTAGGAATGCTACCACCTTGACTTGTGTCAGAATCATTATTTTTGCCTATGAATCCAGCCCAAGCCAATTTGGCCCAAAATCTTTAATTACTTCCCATGGGCTGAAAATAGGCCGAAAATCCAGTGAGTTCCAGGGCCAAAAATCCAGAATTCATTTTCCAAACTCAACCTCTAATCCAATTTATTACACAACCTATCTTATGTATTCCTCAATAAAGCTCAAATTAACTTTGTATCAAACTAAAAAAATCCAAAAAATCTCATGAACATAAACTCTAAAACAAAGTTCTACCAATAAAATCATCTCAAAACGTTATCTCAATCCTCAGCTAAGCTCCCAAGGAGAACAAACAACCAATTCAACACTTGAAAACAAGGAAGAGGTTGTTTTGGTTATACCACTGCCGAGAGAGGTTCAGTGGTTGGATGGCCACGATATTTGAATATGTTGCAGAGAGCACAACTCTGAGCAACTCTTATGAAGGAAGCCGTGTCATCTGAGCAAGGAAAATCGACATGCAAGAGTGAACATCAGTACTCTAGAGCATAATGCAAGAAAATCGACACGAATTCGGATGGTTACAGAAGTCCAATTGCGCTGAGTTTTGGATATGAGTTCTCGACCTGAGGAACAACTTTTGTGAAGGAAGATTTGTGAAACGAGCACCGGAAACTGACATGCAAGGCCAAATCCTTGCCTACAGCAGAAAACCAGGCAGAGATGAACCGCTTGCACTCACAGTCAGTTTGAGCTATACTGCTTCGATTAGGCTGGATTTTTTTATATGTTTTAGTAGACGAGCAGAGGAACGACTTTGAAGAAGTACGCTTTCTGGTTTGAGCTACAGAGGGTGCAGTTCTTAGCCTCTGAACAGGTCTGACGTGAAAATGTACAATTTGAACTCTCAACTTTGAAGCGAAATAAAACAATGATAACCTGCCAGGCTTTTTTAGGGCATTCCTCCTCCAGTTTTGAATTAATTTGTAAGACTTCAATAAATATTTAATGATAATTTAACGAAATTGACAAGATTTGCTGATTGAGTAAAACACAAGGATCAAATCGGCCAAATTGAAAACACGGAGACTAAATTGGCCAAATAGGTAGAATATAGGGACCATTTTGATATTTAAACTTAAATTATATAGGGAAATACTAGCAACTTTCTCTCTAACCTTCTTCTTCGGACCTTTTTCTCCTTTTCTCATGTTATATTTATTGTCAGAAATCGGGTGATCGGCAATATATGGTCAGTTGTCCAACTTCTCGCACTTGGCATACGAAGACAAAAATTTACCAAAGTTAAAAAGTGTTTAACCATCGAATTGGGATTGATAAATAGACGAGTATATCGTTCCCAACAAACAACATTCGGTGTATGTACTTCTTCCAAAAACCAATCGGAATCAACCATTAAGACATAATTTCAATTGATTTTTTGTATTAAATTAGTAATTGACGACATAACAAGAATAAACTACTCCATTTATGATATAATTATGGGGTAGAGGGTTCATCCTCTTTTGCATACGTGTGTAAGCCAAAGCCAGTTGGTTAATTTAAAGTTCGAATCCACCTCATAGATTAGATTAATTTAAACAAAGCCAGTTGGTTAATTTAAAGTTCGAATCCACCTCGTAGATTAGATTAATTTAAAGTAGCTTACACTATCGCTTGTATTGAAATAATAATAATCAAAGCTCACCCACTTCTTTGTTTTTGTTTGACTACATTGCATACACACCATTAAAAAAGTGGCTACTACAAACCCAAAAAAGAAACCAGGAAATGTCCCAATCAATCCACGCACCGAAAGTGGATGAAATATCTCCAACATTTTCCTTCCCAGTCTCTTTCAACTGTTTCTTTTTTCTTGTTTTTTAATTAGTTTATGGCTCCACTTTGCGGCCAAGAGCCATTTACTTCATTTCTAGTAGAGAAAAAGGGCACAAAGATGAGCAAAATTCCACCAAACTTGCATCCTATTTTTTCTTTTCTATTATTTGTTTGGTCACCCTTTTTCTTTTCTTTTCTTTTCGTTTCTTTTATTTGTTTGGTAACCATTTTTCTCCTCCATTATAGAGAATACCTGATAGTTAACAGAAAAATGACCTGATGTAGAGGGAAGGTAATGTATGGTCAGCTTCATATAGATATAAATAAAATCTAAACATCAACATCATATAATATGGATCTATCAACGGCGTAAACGATGACAGCAACCAACACCTATAACAAAATGCCAATACAAACAACAGGAAAAAAACTGGTTCCAAGTAGCAATCACAATGTTTTTCTTGGCAGAAAAAATTGCCCCTGGGTAAATCTGACCGTAACGCATTGCGAGCCCCACATGCATCAATGGTCCAGAAACACGTTTCAATTACGTGTGAGACTGACCATGACATGCCTCTTAACATTCGCTAATTTCAGCAAAAGAGAAAATGAAAAGAGCAACAGAATAGCTAATGCTTGATACTCAAGCCTCACGCCATATCAGGCTGAAAGAAAATTTACTCACACTAACAATGCAACTCCTATAACAAGAGGCATAAACAATTTAACACGGCATCTGATAAAATTCGACAAGGATTGAGAGAATCCATATCCGATATCTTTCTCTTTTTCACCATCCACATCCCACATAATCTCAAATCCCACCACCATGATTTGGAATCCACCAAACCCCACCATCTCATGTTAATGTTATCCTAGTACGCCACTAAAACCAAAACCAATACCAATAGGAGAGAAGTAGAATAAAATAAACAATAAAAGAACAATACGATGTGACAAAAAAAATGAAAATATAAGTATTAGAATACCAATAGCAGTAAAATTGAATGTTACATTATGGAAGGTTCATAATTTCTCCATCTTACTCTTTATCCATAGTAACTGGCACTAGCAGTTACCATATTGTAAAATTACATTAGAACACATCAGAAGCAACAACCTTTCCAATCCCCAAAAATGGACCAGTGGTCCAGGCCCATATTATGAAGAAATCTTTAAGAAGATAATAGAATGACCACCCCCCTAATTTGTACTGAAGTTGACAATGAATAAAAGGAACAGGATGAAACAGCCATAGGATTTTGAGTTCCATATTCATAGAACATGTTGCTCATCATAGAAGAAAAAATGATGATCATATAAACCTAAAATTTGAAAATATTTCGAAGCAAAATGACACCTAGACTGGGTTCCATCTTTTTGAGTATAACCCAGAGGTATGCTTACTCTTTCTAACTTCTGTAACAATGAATGGTGAAATGAATTTTCTTCAAGTGACTTTCTGCAATTGCTTTCATCCATGTTTCTGCTACCTTCAACACCACCCACCAACAAAATCTGGAAAAAAAGCCATTATGTTATTTACCAAAACCTTCCTGTTAACTACCTTGGGACTAACTGAACATTGTTTCAGTTCTGCTGAGCCACAAGATCCAGATGCATTTGGTCAATCCATGCTCCCAAAACAGCATGATCAACCGATTCCCTTTGGGAGTTTGCATTTGAACCCTCACTGGAAGATCCAGTGGCTGTGACACCCGAGATCGGTGTTAGCTTTTCTTTGATTTCGGTAGGAGATTCTTTAACAAGTGACTGAACCCATGATAGATCTGGCTCCTCTCCATTGTGCAGAAGCTCAAAAGAAGATGATCTGCGGAGCTTACCCAATTCATCTGTAGTAACTGCCCAATCTGGTTTTCCATTGGAGGATCCCCATTTTGACCAACAATTTACAGGGGAACCAACATTGGAAGCAGAGTTGGAGCCAAGTTCCCGTGAACTAAGGCTACGAAACTGTTGTTGCTTCTCTCGTTGAGCTAGCATGGAAACCCGAGAGCCCATCGGTGAGATAGGTTCCACATTGCGTGGAGACATCCTCCCAGAGGATGGGACCCCGTAAGAGGCCTGCAATAGAGGGTGATCAACACTCTTGGGGGAAAAGTTTGTATGGATTGGTGAAAGCATGCTCTGCTGCTGCTGAAATTGATTAAGAACAGCTGATTTGTGAGTTGGAGAGAAAACACCTGACTGCAATGATTGATCAGAGTACCGGGGTGACAAGCTCTCAGCAGAGAAGAGATCGTCAAGATTTGAGGGGGTTAGGGTTTTCAACCGGCCAGAACGGTTAAGTGAATTAGAACTCATAGATGGTTGGGAGAGGCAAGAAAACTCATTTAGGAGCTGTTGTTGCTGCATATCGAACTCTGGCAGTATATCATAATCATTGGCTGGCATATCTCTTGCACAGAGGGAAGATCTCAAGCGACTAGACTGAAGATTGCTGCCTGGGAGATGCAAAGCCGGGACATTAGGTTGGGGCCAAGCTAGAGATGAGTGTGACATGCCATTGGCAGATGGGGACATGGGTGGAGTAAATGGTGAAGGAGACATGACATTGACTGATGATGGGGAACCAGGCAAGAGGCTCATTGCAGCAGCAAAATCCATGGCCGAAGCACCAGAAGTGCTCGAGCGAGGAGAGGGAACAGCAGAACCAGTAGAGACATATAATGGCCTGAGTTCCTCTGCAGTGTGGGCAAAAAAGCAGACCCTCCTTGCACAACTTGTACCATCTTTGCAAAGTCGGGTTCGATACTGAGCTGGGTGTAGCCAGCACTCAAAAACCCCATGAGCATATTCGCACATATCTCCACGTCTACAAGCCCCCTTCCGGAAATCTGGACAAGGAACACAGCTGTAATGAAACTTCCTAGGATCCCTTCTCCGTGCATTTTCCCCTGGATGGACAAAGGGACACTCAGTCCAATCATGGGAGTACGCACGTGAACAAGGCCTCACCTTGAATGAATACATCCGAAACTCATCAGTTGAATAAATGCTGTTCTTGATGTCTGGGAGAGAGGGGTCAACAGGATATTCCTTCTTCTCTGACGCAGAAGAGACAGGAAGATTGTAGAACTTTGACTTTGTTGGAGAACAAGTGAAATCTAAAGCAGATGGAGACCCATTTTCCGGCGAAGCTGAAAGAGGAGGAGAACTTGAATGTTGGGTTCTTGTTGAGACCGTGAGAACCTGTTCACCAGCAGAACCATTAATCATAAGGAGTTCTTCTAGAGCTAATCTCACATTCTGTAGCCTAGGAGGAACAACTATAACTTCAACAGGACGATGACCATTAGCATCAACCAAATTGGGATCAGCACCAGCTGCTAAAAGCAGCCTCACAACATCCACAGCATTCTCAGCCCCACCTGAGGCAGCACAGTGAAGAGCAGTGCTCCTATCAAGCCCACAGGCACGATTTACATCAGCATCAGAGAGAGAAAGAATAAGCTTTATCACATCAATGCTGCCATATATAGCAGCAACCATTAAAGGGGTTCTCTGCTCATTAACCATCTGCTTTGAGCCCTTCTGACGACAATACCATAAACCAATCTCATCAATGGCAGAAGGGTCCCTCTCAATAGATCTTTTGAAGCTCTCAATGTCATTGTTCGCAGCAAGCTCAAGTAAGCTGGCAAAAGTATCTTCGGTTTCAACTGTCAAGTGATTATTCATGGCTGTGTTGGAGTCTATTTTCGTCAACAGAGATATGAGATGCTTCTGGAGGTGAAGTGGGCTTTAGCTGCTCTGATCCCTAGCACATTCTTTCATTTGCTGGGAGGCCAGCTGAACATAACAATCACAGAATTAAACTATGAGTAACCATCAGTCATATTTACACATACATATATACACACTAAAGGTCCTCACCAAAACCATACTAGAATAATCCAAACAATAATGAGTTCCACATATGCCTCTTCAGAGACAACACCCACTTATAAATTTTGATTTAGAAAAAGAGACAAACGAATAACATTTTTTGGAAGAAGAAATACAAGTTTAGTGGATTTATCAGACACAAGTAAAAATGTCATAAGGGAACTAAATAATCTAAGAATTGGATTAGCCCATGCTAAGTTTGGTTTTCGTCAAAAGCAAGAGCTACTGGAAAAAAAGTGCGAGATAATGGTTCCCTCTCTTACGGACTTTCACTTTCCTTCATACACAATCTCCAAGAAAGCAAGTATGGAACCGAAAAAGAAGTAGAATATGAGAGACGTAGATTGTAAAATTGATGGCAATCAAGCAAGACACACATAATTACAAATAACATAAGATGAAGAAAATTCAAGAAATTAATCTTTGGTTGGATACGGAGAAAATATTTGAAAACAAAAAAGAAATTAAGATTCATAAATCCGGGTTATTTTATCAGAAACAATAACATTCAACAACGCTTTGTATAATAACGTTTTGTTATTGAATAATATCTTTTTATTAAGATTCATGAATCCGGGTTATTTTATCAGAAACAATAACATTCAACAACGCTTTGTATAATAACGTTTTGTTATTGAATAATATCTTTTTAGAGGAAATGAAAAGCCCACACAAAACCTGAAGACAAATTGCATCCTTTGCAATTTCATTATCACCCCCACTTATTTCCCAGCAATTACAAAGAGGTTAAGAAAACTTCAAATAGATCTGTGAGCACAAAAACCAAAGTCAAACTCAAAAAGACTGTACTATATCATTCCCAAATGAAAACAACACAAAGAAAATAAAATCAAAATAAAATTCATAACAGATCCTGAGGATCAAATCAGCAACAATCGCAGTAATGATCTTGTTGAAATCCATTCAAAACTAATTTTTCCCAAAAAATGTAAACTTGAGAGAGAGAAAAAAAAAATTATGAGAACTTCTCATTTCCTTAAACTGATAGCTTCAAATAACAAGTAATCGCAGTCGAACATCAAAAGCATACGTACACAACATCCAGGGAGATAGAGAGAGAGAGAGAGAGTCGTCATTTCCAAGATCAAGAGCAGAAGACAGTACAGAAAGAGAGCAAGCCCAAGTCTTAAGACAGTCTCAGAGTGAGTATATATACATATATGTCTGTATGTATTTGTGTATATAGGCGGTGTATAAGGTAGGCTTTGTGATCGAAGCGAATCTTACCAAATTTTCCAGCTAAGAAAGCAAGGAAAGCACCATTGAGGCTCTGTGACAGTGACGCAGATCTAGAGCTGCTTCTGGTTACTTCTCAAGAAACTGATTGGACTCCGAGAAAATTTCCTCCTCTGTTTTCTGAGCACAAGAGAGAGAATGAAAGAAAATAATAAAGCGAGCTTTGTTGCTCTTCTTCCATCTCTCTCATGGAAATAAAAATTTAAAAAGTATTTTTTTTAAAATTAAATAAAAAATTAAAGAATTATGTGTTCTTCTTTATTTCTTTATTTCTTTTTTCGGGCTTTGATTAAATCGCCTATCCAATACCAGCAAAAGAAAATTAAAGAAAGCCAAAGCGCACTGAGAGAGTCGCTGTTTGAATGCAATTTCTTTAATTTCCACTTATATCGCGCCACGTCAGGCCACTCTGGACATGTCCACCATTTTCGGAAAAGATAGGGATATTCTCGGAAACTTGGGTTCTCACGAATCTCTACGTGGCGGACCCTGATTAGGGATGTTACGTGGGTAAAATGGAATATAAATACAGGAGCTGAAGCTCTGTTGTAATAATTTAACCTTTGTCTTTCGGTCAAATGTCATAGAAATTCAACCTAAATTCACCCCACATGAAACTTAAATTGTCTCTCCATAAAATCCCGTACATCAAGTCATACGCAAAAACCGTGCAGAACATGACATGGCCTTGTCCAACTGGGTAGCTGTCCGCTCAATAACCATTAGATTTCTGACACGTAATCTGTGATGGTGGTCCTGGAAGCAGAGAATAGAGACTCTTAATGAATTCTTACACGAATTTTCTAAGTCCTTGGAAACCGGTTTGGAAGGTGGAAAGGTAGCAGGGGTTACCGGTTAGGTGAGTTTTAAAGTGTATTAAGGTGACCGGAGTAACCGGTGAGGACGCACGCGCGGGAGCGAAGTGGATTAAACTGGAATGAAATGAGGACTGGCGTCCGCCAATTAGGGAGGTTCGGAGCGCTGGTCGCGAGCGTACGGGAGCGGACTTAAGGCAGGAGTCAATTTTGGTTAATTGTTTAGTCAAATCACAATGGGTAAGAAAAGAGGCACGGAAGCACCTTGGTGGCAAAAAAGCATGGAGCACCAACGACACACAAAACATAAAGAAACGAAAAGGCAAAAACAAAATTAATTATTAATAAAATTATTCTTCAGCCCTCCGCCATACCATTAAGTAAATTATTTACAATTTCCAACAACAACAAATTATAATCCTCTAAATTATTTACAAGTTAAAATAAATTATAACAAATTATAATCCTCCAAATTATTTACAAGTTTAAATAAATTAATAAATAAATGTAACCAAAAAACAAGTAAATTATTTAAGAGTTAAAATAAATTATGTTTATATGAATATGATTCAAAGATTCGAAGGGTCTACCTTTTCAATTTTCTTTCAAAGTTACACGCATAAAAAGGAAGGAAGGCTTATTTTTTGATATACCACCTGAAACTTATTTTGAGTTTCACTCTGCCCCTGAAATTTATTTTGTCTCAATTTACTCCCTTTTTCACATTTATTTGTCTCCCCTCTGTTTTATTTCTCCAATTAACCTGGCTCTTGTACCGACATAGAGGGACAAGGGGCTGCGTAGAAATGGAAATTGAGTTGGGGGTAGTGCTGCGTGGAAAATTGGGTGGGGGTGAAGGGGAGAGAGAGAATGGGAGAAAGAGAGGAGAGAGGAAGAGGGTAATCAGATTTTTATTTTATTTTAATTATTTAAAGTTTAAAATATATATTTTTTACTTAAATCCATATGTCGTCATTTCATTGGTGTGTGAGGGTCCACATATGTGTCACCTAAGTAATTTAATAAAAAATTAGATGGAAGTTAACGGTAGGGACCAAATTGATGTACAAGGAATAAGTCGGACTATTAATGTCACCAAAAAACATAAAGGGCAAAAGGTGATAATTTCACAAATCTCAATAACAATTTATGATAAAAAGTCAATAAAGAAAATTAAAAACTTAATAAAATCTGTATAATAAAAAAATACTTAATAAAATTTAAAACCATTTGGCTTTTTTTTCTAATAGAAAAAACGTTTGGTTATTGAATTCCCATCAAATAATAAAGAATATATTTCTTTTGATAAATATTAAAATTGCCATGAAGTTGTGTGGAGCAATTGCTCTCCAGGAAATGTCCTGAGTTCGAATTCTAGTATGTGTGTGTGAGTTTAGTATATTATCGCCCCTCTCAATAAAAAAGGTCTTCAAAAAAAAAAATTACCATGAAGATAATCAAATAATTATTAGCCCATTTGACTTTTTGTGTGTGTGTTTTTGTTAGCTAAGTAAAAAATGATGGAAAGTGGATGATGAGAAAGATAAGAAAGTCATGAAGGAGAAAAACTTGCATCGCACGAGATAACACTCTTTTGTTGTTTTCAATCAATTACATTCCACTACGCGATAAAGATTCTACATACTGTAGCGTGATTGGATGAGGATAGCGAAACAGTGTTATCCTAGTGACATGCAAGTTCTTATCATAATGGAGGAATGTATGAAACAAAAATTCAAAAAGGAAAATAATAATTTTTTGGAGTAAAAAGATCCTCTCACAACTACCCTTCCTCTAAAATAGAACTAAGGGCCCATTTGGTTCACAAATTGAACTTCTTGAGCCAAATGGTTGTTTGGTTCAAAGTTTAGGAGTTTGGGAATGAATTTGAAATTGCATTCCCATGTTTGGTAAGTGCACTCTTGTAAATGTAATTTTGGGCTCATGGATATGAACTTCCCATGTATGAAGAATTTCATACCCTTGGCTTAGCTTGGGAATCTTTTTCCCCCACCTAGGAAAGCATTTAATGAAACTTTTTAGGACTAAATTACCCCCGCTAACATTTTCTACTAGTAGCAATGGATCGTTTCGTATCGGTTTAAGGTACTAAACAGGTTAAAAATCTTCAACTCGAATACGCCCCATTTATTACATGGGTACACAATCTCCAATCTTAACACGACTCGTTTATTACACTGTTAACACTGCACAACCTGTGTAACTTATTTATTAGATAAGTTCATTTAAAATATTATTTAGGTTTAACATTGTTTACCTGTTTAACCTATTTAGCATATTTAAATCTGTTAACCTATTAAGCTCATGTAATCTATTAAATATTTATATTTATCAATAATAATAACACTGATATATATATATATATACATTAAAACACTTATAACAATATTAAAAATATTATACAAAAGTATAAATTTAATGTTAAAAATATAATTTAATTACATATAAAATTTAAAATAATAAACTAATAAAATAAATAGGTTGAAACGACCTGTTTATTAAACGAGTTAAGTAGGTTAATATATGGGTTGACATGTTGACCCTAAACTCACCTTTTTATTAATCGTGTCTTAGCGGGTTAACCTGAATTTGACCCAAAAAAATTTATCGGGTGCGTTTCAAAGTGTTCATTGGGCTAAGTCGGAAATTGTCACCCCTATAATTTTCTAATATCACTTTTGACCCTTAGAAACAAATTGTTAAAGTTTAATAACTTTTAATAAAAATCAAATTAAAGCTATGGTTGAAAAAATGTACAATTTTTCATTCTTAATTTTGCAAAACCCAAACATGGGAATAGGAGAAAATAAGGGCCCGTCTGGTAACGTTTTCTAAGAATATTTTTAGAGAATGAAAACGAGAAAACAAATTTGCATTTTCAGGATTCGAGAATGCGTCTGGTAGATTAATTTGAAAACAAATTTAAGAAATAAAAACAGTGAAAATGTATATGATATTACAATTTGAGAATAATAATATGTGAGTTTTTTTTTTCAAGTGTATTTTTGCTAATGTCTGTTAAAAAAAAAAAATTAAAAAACAATAATAAAATTTTAATGTAAAAAAACCTAGAATTATCTTTAATATTTGAGTAATGCTATTTGGACACACAACATTGACACACTTAGTTGACACCTGCTGATGTGTCAATGTATCATTCGCTGAACAGAAAACGAGGAGAAAATAAGAGCAAATGAAACATTGACACATCAGCGGGTGTCACTAAGTGTGTCAATATTGTGTGTCCAAATAGCATTACTCTTAATATTTAGTGAAAATGATAAATAAAAAAGTTGAATTTTGTTGGTTAATTGATACACTGAACAAGTATACTTCTCCCACCTTCTCTATTTTTTTTTTTAATCAAATCCTTTTTTTTCTGGCTGAATGTTTCACTAGTATTATGTTAACAAGATTAAAACTAAAACTAAACAAAAAATCACACTCAGTTTCTTTTTCTTTTTCTTCCTTTACTCTTTTCTCTCTCTCTCTCTCTCTCTTCCTCTTTCTCATGCAAGCTCTATCATTTCTCCCTTTGCCTCTTTCTCACACTCTCTCTTTGGTTCTCTCTCTTCTTCTTCCTCTCTCTGATTCTTTTTTCTTTTTTTTTGTTTAAACCATGAGGTGGTCCTGGATGGGCCCCAACTATGGGTGGTACCTTTAAGCCTTAACCACAACCCAGACTAACCCCCACTCACACCGGGTCGGCCCGTAAGGGGTAAAGTATTGGCCAAAGTGGTGACTCTGTACGAGAGCAGGGATTGAACCCCTGACCTCTTTTAAGGAATGAGAGTGCCGAACCACTCACACCAACCACCTTGGGTTCTCTCTCTGATTCTTTCAATTCTTCTTCCTCTCTATGTTTTTTTTCTCTACGTCTTCCTTTCTTTTTTTCGCATTCTCTTTTTCTCTCAGTTTCAGATTTGTGTGATTATGGTTTTTTTTTTCCTCGAAATTTTGGGGCTAATTATGCTTGAAAGGAAGAGATTTGACTGTTTTGGGATTTAATTTGATTGGATTATTTGCTCATTTGATAGAGAAGAGTCGGCTTTGATCATAGACTAAAAACGAAAAAGCTGAAAATGACTTTTTGGCGTTTTCAATTTTCGCACATGAGTTTGGATTTGATTTTAGAAAATATAGTTGAGTGTTTTGGATAACACTCCACCGAACACTTATTTTTTTAAAAATGAAAACGGAAAATGAAAATGGGGTTGTGAAAACGTAACCAAACGTCCCTTAAGCTTTCATGATCTTCATTTTCTAGTGTTCTCAAACATGGACATGAGCATCATCCATTCCTATCTCTTGGGATTAGACATCGGTAATTCATTTGTAAGAAGTTCA